CGCTACCAAAACCTTGCCATGCAAACCCAGTTCAGAAGTGTTTCTGAATTAACTCACAGTCTAGGAAGAAGAAGGGAACCCAAACCCCTTGCTGGGAGAAACGTTGCCAGAGGTCCGCTGAAGTGACCCTAGGGCTAGCCCCACCAGGGTGTGGGAGGAAGGGGATGGTGTGGAAATGCTACAGCTCAGCACGGCCGGTGGGAAGGTCGGCCTCGTGCCTCTGCATCTGCATCCTTCCCTTTCAGGAAAGCACTGCTCAGCCATTTCAGGACTCAACAAGAGGCTCTTGCTTGGTACATATTAAAGATCCTTTCTCTTAACAGGCTGCAGGTTTAGCCCCAAAGCTTATAGAGAGCCACAGTCACTGCTGAGCAGCCTCTGGACTTGCCTGCCCTGGTTTACTTACCTCTCTTCAACAGCAGGCAGCATTCCGACTGTCAGTTCAACCTGTTTTTTGGAGCAGATACGAGGATGATGATACTGTTCACCAACACAGATCATGGTGAACACATCATCTAGAGGAAAACCACTAGTGCAGCCTTCTGCCTGGAGACACTCTTGGAACTTGTAATTCAGCTGCTCCCTTCAGACTCACTTTTGAATTCATGTACAAGACTGAAAAAACAGCCTGGCTTTGGCATCCAGCAATCACTGTGCCTGGTGACACTGGATTGTCACCTGAATCTTTGGGCTAGGACCAAATCTTATCCTCTCACATCAGACAATAGGAGGTGAGTGATGTTTACTTCTGGCAATCAATCACATGAACACCTATTTGAAGACAGATGCCAATGTTATGACTATTTAGATTGCCAGGACCTGGACAGGGACTGAAGAAAATCCAGGCTAAGCAGGTAAATCCTCTTCTTTTCAGCCCTCTCTCTGTTTAGGCCAAATCTTGGCAAAATAATTCACCACAAACATAAAAATTTGTGTGTGCTAAGGTGGTGTGACATTGCGTGGAACTGATCTGATCAAGGGTGTTGAAATTAGAAATATTTCCTTTCTGTATTTCTAAAATATTTCAGTTGTCAGTGGATTTCAGTTTCATTATTATCATGAATTACTATGCAAACCTCAGTATGTTTCAGCCTGTGTTGAATTCATCAGCTGTTTGGGGGGTTGGTTTTAGTTTTGCCTTAGTTGAAAAAGCTGTGAATGTTTGCCCCAAACAACTGAGAAAAAGGTTGTTTAGAGTTATTCTGGAAAAACAAATATTCACTTTGTTTGCACAACTACAGCCCTGACATAATTAAACTCTGCCCAATATGATGCTCTCTTTTGCTTGATGAACTGAAAATAACTAGAAAAAGAACCCCAGAAGCTAAATAGCTAAAAAACCGCAAACAAACCAGTAAGACTCCAGTCTCATCTTGAAGACTTTGCTGTTTTCTTTCACAATCTCATTATGTATTTTTAAATAGAAGTCTTGTTTCAAAAGCAAGAAGATATTTTGTCTTTAAAAGGTCATAAAAATATCTCTGTATTAGAACAGCTTGGGTGGATGATGCTTACAGCTATGCATTACACACACCGTACGTAACACTGAGAGCAAGATAACATTAAAATACAGATTTCCCTCAAGATACTGACATAACATGATTAATGCTTTGCCACTTCTTACATCAATGTTCATACTGAACTGTGCAGAGCAGAAACAGTGTTTTCTGTTACCAAAGTAGTGTACAGCAATAAAAAAGAGGGTGGAGAAGAAACAATCCGTATCTTGTACAAAACCATGCCCTGGACTACCCTGCTGATGCTGGGCTCCAGCAGGTAATTCTCACATCTAGCCCAGTGTTTGTCACAGTTAAAACCCCTGTAGTCTTGTCTTCATGTCCCCTACCCACCAAAAAGTCTGTTCTTTAGTTAGAACATGAACAAATAACCCACTCCTCTTCCTTCATTTTGTCCCCTCCTCCAAGTTAATGGCCATAAATCTGAGAACAGGTCAAGGCACATGGCAGGAAGAATGAAGAGACAGGCTGTGGTTTTAGGGTGCAGGTCTGCGCCTCACTCAGCTGAGCCATCAGTGGGGCAGATCAGCAAGGCACTGTTGGCAGGAGACCCCGCCAATGCCAGGATCCAGCTGCTGTAAGGAGTACGCAGGTGCATGGCTTGTAAAAACACCATAGAGTTCTTGATTTGTGTCTTGTTTGGATACACAGCCTGGGTCTGCGAGGCCCCAGCCTGTGCTGCTTCAATGGAAATAAGCCATGCGCTGCTAACAGCTGCTCCTCCTCTGGCAGGCAGCATCGTAGGCACAAGGGGCTGACACCTGGGGCTGACTGTTGGGTTATTATAAACGCTGTAACCTGCACCTACCCCTGAGGTGTTCCCTGAGTTGGCTCCTCTATCCCAGAGTGTTTGTAGAAACACAGTGCCCAGGGGCACCACAGTGTTTCCACAACTCAGATTTCTCTTCCTGGGATGCAGAAGATGGGGCACGGTAAGAAACCAACCAGCTTCATTGAGGATTTTTAGTGTTAATGCCAGAGATTTTGTCTTTACCAGCTAATCCCAGCCCTGCTCCTAGTTGCTTTAGTATATGCCAGAGCACCAGCTGCCTAGCAGGAAACCAAATGTACCTCTGGAGGGCAAAGACCTGGTGTGCTACCCTATGTGGTTTGAAATAAGTATCAACGTTAACATCTACATTCATCAATAAAAGTTAGCTGGGGAGAGGCAGGCAGCTGGCTCCCTGCCCTACACACTGATCAGAGATCTGGGTGAAGAGCAATCTATCATGTAGGACCAAAACTGATGCACCAGCCCAAAGAGACAGTCATAGCCTTGTTGCAGCAAAGGGATCAAGTGTGGGCTCTTTGAAAGAGGTAGCATTAAATTAAGTGTATTACTCATACTTTCACCTGTGCAATCCCTTGAGGTTTCACACTATCAGAGCAACAGTAAGGCTGTTTCTGTTTCATTGCTGTCTTTGAAGCTTATTCTCTGGCATATGGGATCCCCCCCCCTTTAGTGCAGTGTTTAAGTGCTGGCAACCTGAAGTTTCTTGTAGTTGATGTTCAGGGGATTTCTGAATTGCAGGTTTGTTATATACATCCTATATTTAGGATCTGGTCTTTGCTGGGTGTTGTTCGGTCTGTGCAAGTGGGACTTTTATCAGGACTGACTGGTCAAACCCTTGAGTAGCAAACTGGTTTTCTTTTTGAAGCATGCCTTCAAAGTGTTGGGCTTTGGGGAATTTGACCTTCCCGTGTTCCCGCAGCTCTCTGCAAAGAGAGAAATCTTCTAGATAAAGTACATATTGAGATTGATGTACATGACATTGGCAAACTGAGGGACACGGAGAAATGAAAGAGCTACTGAACTGAAGTAGCTTTCTGGCGCAATAGTTGTGTATGATGTCATTTGTGTATTTCCTTACAGAAATGCTACCTGAAAAGTCCTGATTTCCCTCCTGCCTCCCCACACAGCAATGTTCTCCTGTGCTATTAACAGTCTAAAATATCCACTCTTCCCATATGCCAGAGGGAAGCGTGTGATGTACCATGTCCAGGATGCAGCTAGGCAAATGGCCTGGATCAACTTGTACCTGTCAAACGCTTCCCAGGAAGATACGAAAAACAAAATGAAGAGAAATAGCACTGTTTGTGTCTCCACCTGCACCAGGAGTCAGCCAGGACCATCTTTCCAACCCTTCCCGGGGTTCTAGCAGCCTTTGCCCCTAGGGTTTGGTATGGACATAGCAGCCCCCCTTCTCAATGGTCTGCACCGGGTGGATCGGTAGGACCAGGTGGGAGATGCGGCTCCATAGCCCACTCAGCTTATCAGAGTCCATGTGGTCATAGGAGCTGGGGGTCCTGGTGTTGGTGAACTTGGCCCAGAGGAAGTCACGGACCCTCTCTTCCACCTGCTGGAGGCTGATGTGGGTCTCCAGTGTCTCCTCCTCCAGCAGCACAGTCAGCAGCAGGGCCACGTCCTTGAAAGCAGCACTTTCATGGTCGCAGTACTTGTAGAAGATGAGGGTGGCTCCTGCTGGCAGCAACTCAAAGCGGTGTATCACTGCAGCACGGCCCCCAGCCTGGAAAGCTAAGCTCAGCTCTGAGTCCAACTCCAGCTTTGCCCGGTCACTCTGGAGCCTGGATTTATCCATGCCATCGATCTGGACCGTGCTGGCCTGCAGGGCAGCTGAGTAGGTGTCAGCCACATGGGTGCTGAGGCATTGCAAGGTCCGCTTGCCCTTGCGGGCAGCTGTGAAGATGATGATGGCTGGCTGCGTGTGGTGGGATGCATTGAGGTGCTTCTGCAGGAACTTGCGCCCACCCGGTCACTCTGGAGCCTGGATTTATCCATGCCATCGATCTGGACCGTGCTGGCCTGCAGGGCAGCTGAGTAGGTGTCAGCCACATGGGTGCTGAGGCATTGCAAGGTCCGCTTGCCCTTGCGGGCAGCTGTGAAGATGATGATGGCTGGCTGCGTGTGGTGGGATGCATTGAGGTGCTTCTGCAGGAACTTGCGCCCACGAAGCCACAGGTGGGGACTCTGCCCTGGAAACCGGTCCTGCAGCTGGTTGTAGGAATGCCTCCACTGTGGGGTTCCTGGGGACTTGCTGGGACTTGGAGGTCAGGTGGCCGAAGCAGAATATGCAGAAGCTAAGCAATACAAGGCTCACAACGACAAGCCCTGTTCAACAGGGGAGAGACCCAAGACAGGGAACATAAGTCAGTCCCAAGTGACCTGCAGTGATACACTGGAAAGTAGCTATAAGGGCTCTTTTTCTGCTCTCAGACCTTCCCCCCTATGCTAGGAAAGTGGTACAGGTTGGCATGTTCTCTGGGGGCCCAGGAATGGCGAAGAGGCTGCTTGCTCCATCTTGTGAGACCCATGCTCCTACACACCAGACGGGGGGGCTACAGCGCCAGAGATGGAGGCAAGGCTACAGCTTTGTTGCCGAGGTGCAAAATTTCCTGAGGAAATCGCAGCTGGCCACAAGTTTTCTTTTCTTTCCCCCTCCTCTGTTTTATTTAAGGTTTGTGGCCATTCGGAGCACCCACCTCCACTTACGGAGGCGTCTGACCTAGCTAAAGTGTTGTGTTCACGGCCTTCCTCCTAGCTATGCTGGGTGAACAAAGGCTACTGTGCTTCTGGCCAGAAAAGGAAGACAGTGAGGTCCAGACACAACTGTTTGCATCCCTCTCCATGGCAAAGTGGGGTCTCTTTATACCAGGAGAAACGTGTGGTGCAGATCAGCATCACAGCTCCTGCTTGAGGCCCTATGACATAGAGAGGGACTGGGAAGGGGGACCACCAGTATAAGACCTCCCAGGGCACGCCAGGGTACTCCCAGCATGCTGAACGTGATGTGCCTGCTTTAGAGGCTGAAGTGCTGGAGGGACGCCTGCTACTATAGGCTCAAACTGAGCCTATTTTTAAGGGGATGGGTTTTCCCTCAAACCCTCAGAAAAGGCTGTGAAAGGTCCTGAGAGAGAAAAGGAATTAAATGTGCTTCATTACTTGTTCCTGGAGGATCAGTGCCTTCTGGTCGATGAGTAACGTGCAAGGGAAGCTTCTTTTCCTCACCTTTCAGCAAAAGAGACTTTTTGGCCTTCTCCTGGTCTGTGTTTTGGGTGGTGGCATTCTGCAAGCAGGACTGAGCCTCTGGCTTTGGGGCTGTGTGCCCTACAGTAAGAGAAAAAAATGTGCCACTCACTGTTGAGGGAACAGGTAAATTGAGCTGTAATAAGAAAAGCAACAGAGCTGTCAGGAGCTCCCAGCGGAGGGAGAGTTAAAGTGAGTACTGCTTTGCATTAATACTGCTTTGAGTCTTGGCTCTCTCTGCACTTTGGGCAGGGGAAGGAGGAAGATGATGCAGACTGCAGTGTGGTTTCATACCTTTCAAAGCTGGACAGTAGTCAAAGGAGAAAGAAAGAGAGAAACCAGTTAATTTCTTATACCTTCTTTCCTGCTCGACTCTGGAAAACTGACAACAGGCACTAGAGGTCTCACACCATTTTTCTAATGCTTATGGAAAGTGTAGGCATGTGCACAGTGGAAAAGCAGCAGTCTGTAGCCACCAGCTCACCTGCAGTCCCATGTCTGTTCCTTAACATGCCTTGGGACCTGCTCTCCTGTATTTCTTGCTCTATGTGCTCTTCTGGCTCCTGATCTAGGAGAGGGGCACTGGTGCTCTTCTCTGCCGAGAGGCTCTTGGTGACATCTTCTGTGGCAGTCAGATCCAAATGTGTCATTTTACTGTCAGAGCTCACCGACTTGCTTCTTGATGAAGCATCTTGCTCTGCTGTGTAGGAGTTTCCATGTTGCTTGCTTGTCTCCTCGTCCTCCTGTATTTCCTGGTGGACAGGGCTGTCTCCTTTGCTGTCTGTTTTATCATGGGCCAGCCTGGCTGTAGGGAATAAAATTCACAGACCTATGCTTAGTCTCTTTCAGCACAAGAACCAACAACCCTTTCTCCTGCTCTGCCTCCTCTAAGCAAAGGTCCAGGTTATCAGCATTTTGGAAACACTGTATACACAGAAGGGAAGAGACTCACCTTCATCCAAGTCATCTTCTTCCTGGGATCTTTCTGAGACACCATCTCTCGTCTTCCCAGATTCTTCCAGTGATACTTCAGTTTCCTGAAGAACCTTCTCCTCTACTGTAGGGCCAGCTAAATCTGACAGTGTTGTCTCTCCTTCATCAGCAGTTGGTGATTTACACACCGAAGAGTCCTCCTCTGGTTTGCAGGAGGTCTCAGGCCATCTGCTTGTCACTTGGTGCTCAAGTGTTTCTTGGATAGGCTCTTGGTTCACAGGATGCTCTGCTGTGCTCTCCACCGCATCTTGAGCTGGGCTGGCTGTTGGGATCAGAGTTCAGAAGATCAGCTAGCCATGCAGGAGTCAAGAATACCCAGTGCTTTACCACCATCCTGTAAAACTCACAGTTCTGGCATTTCGGAAACATCTACCCCCAGTGACACGGAGAGAGAATAGGGTGGCCAAAAGTGAGAAAACTCATGGGTCGAGATCAAGACATCTGAATAGGTGAAGGAAAGGAGGGGAAATCACAAGCGATGCAAAGGCAACCGCTCACCACCTCCCACAAGCAGACTGATGCCAGGCCAGTCTCCAAGCAATGGCCACCTCAGAAGCCAACCCTCCCCCCTTCTTCTTCCTGTACCCCAGTTTGTGTTGCTGAGCATGATGTTATACTGTATGCAATAGCCCATTGCTCACCTTGGGTCCCCACACAATCTTCTGCCCACCCCAGTTTATTTGCTTGGTGGGGGGAAGTGGGGAAAAAGAGAAAGCCTTGACACTGTGCCAGCACTGTTCAGGAACAGCCAAAACACTGCCGTGTTATCAACACCTTTTTTTTTTTTTTTTTTTTTTTTAATCCAAAACACAGCACTGTACAGAGTGCTATGAGGAAAGTTAACTCAATCCCAGCCTATGTCCCATGCTGTCCTGTGTGGGGTGGATAGGCAAATCTTTCATCAAGTGGTAGGATATGAACCACATTTCCACAGATAGTGGGTTTTCCTAGGCTGGTAAATTAAGGTGATGGACTAGAAGAATTTCTAAGGCTGATGCTGAGTACTGGCCAGAACAGTTATGCCAACGTACTTCAAGTATCTGTCTGAATATAAATGTTGTGTCTGCTTGCGCTCCTTCTCTGCTCCTGTTCTGGAGCTGCTCCTCCAAACAGCTGTGGTAATGTGTAATAAAAAGCCAACACTGGAGCATAACTCAATAGAGAAATTCTGAGGGTGAACATAAGCATTTGCAACCTATTCTGAATCTTACAAAACAAAACAGTGCGGCTCAAATTTCAGGCACTATTTGTGAAAAATTGCTTATGAACGATCAAGCACTACAATGACATAGAAATGATTATGCTAAAATTAGAATAAAGATAAAAATGACAAGGAACTCCCTACTAATTTGAAAGCAGAGAAAAAGCTGCACTTGCCACATGTTGGAACATGCTGTCTTTTGGAGCATGATTTTTACATTCCTTGTTGCTGATTATTACGGGGACACCTCTGACCACATTGGAAGATCTGAGCTGGCTACAGCATCATGATATCACTGAAATACTCATATGTAGAAGTCATGATAAGGCACTTGGAGAATGTAAGTACATGGTAGAAACGTAAATATGAGGAACCTGGAGGTATCCTGCTGTTCAAGCTGGGCACAAACAGTACTCCTTGCCCTGCCTCCTCCAGAGGTTTCCCATCCACAGGTGGTGGAAAACTGGCTTATTATTTAGGCTTCTGTAGATGAGAAGCACTTAGATTCAGGGAAGAAAGCTCTCCCAGTCTGGAGCTCCATCTTTAGCCTTCCTTGTGCTTTCTTGCTTCCCATAAGCAACACAGAGTCTAAACCTGTTGCTTACGGGAAACCCAAACTGGAAGTAACTAGTTAATCTTTCAGCCTTGAAAAAAAAGATAGCAACTTGCTTTTCTTGGCCTGGAAAAGACAGGATTCTTTTATTTTTCATTTTATTTTGCCTAGGTTTACCACTCTTGAAATCTTCTTGCAAAGGGATTTTCCTAGTAGATGGAGTAAGTTTAGGATTCACTTACCTCCAGAGAGATCCATGCTTGGATTCTCTTCCATTTTCTTTCTCCCCTGGAGCTCTGGCTTCTGCACCCGTTTTCTTTCACTTTCTCCTTCGGTCATGAGAAGTATCTGCCCACTGTTTGAGTGGCTGACCAAATCCTACCGCCCCTCACAGACACCATCCCGTCTTGGTCTTGGGAGTTGCAACTGAACGCCCGTAAACCTGATAAGCAGACACACAGGAGCAGTGATTCATGGTGGAGAAGGAGGCTCCTCCCTCCATGACTACCAAGGTGGTGTGAGAATGGATGGATGCCACTGATAACCACCAACCTTCAGCCCACGGGCTATTAGCTATTTTGCTTCCCGGCAGGCTACAAGCAGTCCAAGGGCTAACGCAAACCGCAGCTCTCTCGGGACATGCCGGTGGGGTGAGGCACTGGTTTCTCACCCGGATGGGCCTTGCGGGGCTCCGAGATGGCAGGCCTGGAAGGCTGGGGCTCGGCAGGCTGCCCCGTGTGCTTTTGGGCACCCGGTGTCTCACGGCCAGGCCCATACGGAGCGGTGAGCCTGCTCCACCTTACCTTCCCACCTCCGGCATACCGGATCGGCGGACGGCGGTGTCGGAA